GTCAGAGCTCCACCAAGGAGGAAGGTATAATGGAGGAAGAGCTGGATATGTTTGCAGCAATGCCTTCAGTTCCAGCCAACAAGGCCGTCCATTACACATTTCCCTACATGTCATTCAAGTTTCCGGAGATTACTACAAACAGCATTGCATGCCCTCGTCTTCATTTTTCTCAACCAGACATTCTCAATAATGGTAAGTGGTACTTCTTTTCCTCAGTGGAGAAAATCTGTATTTAATTTATTGTATGAGGTGCCTCATCAGCCAAGTTAATGTGCTTCATGCAGGCATTGGTGTGGTAGTCACTAGGAAAGTCTTGCCTCGGGTAAGGATGTGAGTGTCAGAAATTTCACTAAACTTATACACAAATAACCTGCACATAGAAGAGAGGAGCTTACGACGACGTTTCGGTCCGACTTGGACCGAATATATAAGTCCTGCCCAACTTTCATGTATAGTAATTGCTGTATTACATTTACATTTAAATTAACTGTGGTGACAATCTGGAATTCCAGAGTAATTTTTGTCCATGTTGTGTCATCAGGAATTGACATGCAGTAATATATTATGACTCCAAAAATCCCAAATACTTTATAATTGGGAACTGAGCTTTATATATATATATATATATATATTTTTTTTTTTTGGGGGGGGGCATTGAAGCAAAGTGCACTGCAAGTAGAAAACTTGGAACTTCAGAAAAAATTAATACATTTGATAAAACAAAAGTATAAAAAATGAAATATTTATTCTCCTAACCAAGCTTAAGTTACAGTGGATCCTCATTTTTCATAATTACATAATCTGTTCCAGAGAGTGTGACTAATATTGAAATTGACGTTTTGCAGAACCATTTTCCCCATAAGAAATAATGTAAATCCAGTTAATCTGTTCCGGACACTCAAAAGTATTATAACAAAAATAATTTTTTTACCTGAAATATAGATGTACATACACAGAAAACAATGAGACGTGAAGAATGAAACAATAATAGCATGACACTTACCTATATTGACGATTCTTCTTAGTGTATGGAAGACGGGTGGAGGGGAGAGGATGGATTAATTACTGTTTGGAAGGGAAATCCCCTACCATAAAGACTTGAGGTACCAAGTGCTTTTCTGGGGTTACTTCACTTCTTTGTTTTTTAATGCCACTAGGACCAGCTTGAGAGTCTCTGGACCCCTGTGGCACTAAATATCTGTCCAGAGAGCTCTGTTTCTGGCATCTCTTTAAAATTTCCCTAAAATGGGACAAGACATTGTCATTGTACATGTTGCTGACATGGCTTGCAAGAGCTTTGCCAGGGTGATGTTCCTCCACAAACCTTTCCATCCTACTCCACATTACACAGATCTCCTTAATCTCTGAAGAAGGCACCTTCTTCCATCTCTCTCCCTCCTCCTCTGAAGCAATTTCCTGAGCTGTGGTCTGTTGCTGTTGCAGATAAAGCTCTTGGAGCTCTTCAGTGGTTAGCTCTTCGTTGTGGTCCTCCTCCAACTCTTCCACATCCACCCCAATAACCTCCAACCCCATGGACTTCCCCAATGCCACAGTAGATTCCACAACTGGCATAGGGTCCTCAGGGTCAGCTTCAAACTCTTCAAAATCTTTCTTGAGGACACATTCTGGCCACAATTTTCTCCAAGCTGAGTTCAAAGTCCTGGATGTCATCCCCTCCCAAGCCTTACCTATAAGGTTTATGCAGTGGAGGATACTGAAGTGATCTTTCCAAAACTCTCTTAGGGTCAATTGAGTGTCTGAGGTCACATCAAAGCACCTTTGAAACTTTGCTTTGGTGTAGAGTTTTTTTGAAATTTGAAATGGTCTGCTCGTCCATGCGCTGGATGAGAGGAGTGGTATTAGGGGACAAGAACTTCATTGTGATAAAATGAAACTCCTTCACAATTTGGTCATCCAAGTCTGGAGGATGAACAGGTGCATTGTCCATCACCAGGAGGTACTTGAGTTCCAATTTATTTTCCAGGAGGGATTTCTTCACACGGGCCAAACACTTCCTTGAACCAAACAAAGAAAATTTCCCTTGTGACCCGTGCCTTACTGTTAGCCTTCCACATCACACAATTTACTTTTGGCAACAGTTTTTCTTGAACACACTGGGATTTTCAGAGTGATACAGTAGTAAAGGCTTCACTTTGAAATCCCCATTAGCATTACTACAGAACAAAAGAGTAAGCCTATCCTTCATAGGCTTGTTTCCTGGTAGTGCCTTTTCCTCCTGTGTGATGTAGGTCCTCCTTGGCATTTTCTTCCAAAAGAGGCCTGTTTTTTCACAATTGAACACTTGTTGGGGTTTGAATTCTTCAGCCTCTACGTACCCCTTGAATTCACGCACATATTTTTCAGCCGCATATTTGTCAGAACTAGCAGCTTCACCATGCCTTACCACATTGTGAATGCCACTACACTTCTTAAATCTCTCAAACCAGCCTTTGCTGGCCTTAAATTCACTAACATCAGCACTCGTTGCAGGCATTTTCTTTACAAGATCGTCGTGCAACTGCCTTGCCTTTTCACAAATTATTGACTGCATAACACTGTCTCTGCTAATTGTTTCTCATTGATCCACACCAACAATAACTTCTCAACATCTTCGAGCGTTCGTGATCTCATTTTTGTGAACATATTTACCCCTTTTGCAACAACAGCTTCCTTCACTTCCTTTTTCTTGGCCATGATGGAAGCAATGGTTGTATGTGGGTTTCCCATACAGCCTGGCAAGTTCTGTGACACGCATTCCACTTTCATATTTTTCATTGATGTCTTTCTTGAATTCTATCGTGTTTCTCACCTTCTTTACCAAAGGCCTGGCACTAGGAGCTTTCTTTGGAGCCATGGTGGCAGAGATTAGAAGATGTGGGTTACCAAAAATATTATTCAGAGGGCTGAGGAGTTGTTGAGGTGGTTTGGAATTTAGAGTGGATGAAGCTTATAGGATGAAATGGAGAGTATATAATTAGTATGGAGAGGAGGAAGGGTTGGAGTCATCCCAGGAAAGGTTAGATAGAGGGAGTGAAAGTGGTTTAATATGCTGTGGGCTGGAGCATCTTAGATCTGAGTGGAGACAAGTTGTCTTCATGACTTGACATGTTGTTGGAGTGTGAGCAACATAATATTTATGAAGGAATTCAAGGAAACCAGTTAGGTAGATGTTACGAGTCAGGATTTATTTCGTTCTTGCAAGAGTTTTTCCAGGTAAAGTAAATAAGATCACCCCTTCTTCACAACAAGACATTGGATTATAAGTGGGACTAGATATCCTCTTTATCACTTCAGCAGTGTGTCACAGGTTTAACCCTTTGAGGGTCGACAGGCCCTCTCCGAGACTCGTTCTCAGGGTCGGCCAAATTAAAAAAAAAAAAAAAAAATTCTTATGAAAAGATAGAGAATCTTTTCCCGATCATAATGACACCAAAAATATGAAATTTGATGGAAAACTTACGGAATTATACTCTCGCGAAGTTAGCAATCTCGGCGATGTTTACGGATCGGCGATTTTGCCCACTTTGAGCCCCATTTTCGGCCAGTTCCACTGTACTAGTCGACAAAAAACATGAATATTTCGCTAGAGCTCCATTTTTTCTATTGAATAAGTGCAAGAAACCACCCATTTACCAATTTCAACTATCCAGTACAGTGGTCAGAATTTAGCAATTTTGCCAATTTCACACAAATTTCAAAAGATGCCAATTTCCGAATAGGGTCCAGAACAAACAAGAAATACATTCCTGGCACTAAAATGACATTTCCTCTGTTCATTAGTCACGTCTCAAGGCCCCTCTTACATTCTTTTGCTTTCCACTTTGAATTTTTATTCTCACAAAAAATAGAAGATTTACTGTTATGCAGACTACTGCATTAGTGTAAAAAATGGTATGACTCATATTGGCGCACTTGCAAAAGAATATTAGACTCACCAGTTGACGTGTATTGGACGCTTGGCATGATTTGTTTACTTTTGAACTTTGGTAAAAATCGAACATTTCTGCTACTTTGAGCTCAATTTCAAGGTAATTTTCATTGTAAAACCAGTCAAAATCATCCCAATTTCTATGATATGCCTTCCATTCTATAAAATGAGACCAAGAAAACTATAATACAACAATAAATACTATACGAAAATACAGTGCAAAGTCACTGTTTTATTCCAAAAAAACGGTCAAAGTTTTTTTTTTCTCATTATGCACTGTGCTGCAGGATTTTTTTTTATACCATGCACACTGACCACATAGACCCATTCTTTCATATGGAGGCCTACCAGCTTTCTCCCACTAGATTTGAGGGCGCTAGAATTTAAGTGTACTAGTACGTCAAAAACCCTGGGTCGTAAGCCGTACTAGTACGTCCGAAACCCTCAAAGGGTTAATCAACTTGAGAGACAAAATCCAACAAGTAAAGTATTTAACAATCTTTAACCCTTTGACTGTCGCAACCCCAAATCCTGAAGTGTCTCCTGGTGTCATTAAATATTTGAAAAAAAAAAAAAATTCTTGTGAAATGATAGAGACTTTTCCCAATGATAATGACACCAAAAGTGTGAAATTTGATGGAAAACTTAAGGAATTATGCTCTTGCGAAGTTGGCGACCTTGGCGACATTTATGCAACAGCGATTTTGCCCACTTTGTGCCCTATTTTTGGCCAATTCCATTGTTCCAGTCCACCAAACTCATAGCTATTTCTTTAGAACTCTATTTGTGCTATCGACTGAGTACAAGAGACTGCCCATTTATCGATTTCAACTACCCAATAAAGTGGTCAGAAATTGGCACTTTGGCTAATTTCATGCAAATTAAAAAATGTCAATTTCAAAATAGGGTCCAGAATGAACAATACAAACATTCCTGGCACTAAAATAACATTTTCTCTCTTCATCAGTCATGTCTCCAGGCCCCTGTTATAATACTCTTGCTTTCTAACATATCCACTACTATGAGCTCAATTTTAAGGTATTTTCTGGCATGAAACCAATCAAAATTATATCAGTTCTGTAATATATCTTCCATTCTATCAAATGAGACCAAAAAACACACTAGAATACAACCATACAAACCTTATGAAAATACACTGAAAATTCGCCGTTTTACATCAAAAGTACAATCGCCAGTTTTTTCTCATTATGCTCTGCGTGCTGCAGGATTTTCTGTATAGTACATACCACACAGACGTATTCTCTCATGTGTAGGCCCAAGTTTACCAATCACAGTTTATCAGAGTGAACTTATCTCGTGGTGGCTGACAGTGGATTCAAAGCCACCTTTTCTTTTATGGACAGTGTATGGTTTATGTGCTTTACATGACAAGAATCATTTCTTCTATTCATTGGAATCAGGGTTAGAGCTAAAAGTGAGCAGGTTATAACAATAAATATAGAAAAAGAAATTGGAATGACTTATGCAGCAAGTAGCATCACCAAACAGAAGTGGCTGGTTGGTGTTGCAACCCAGAAATTTGAAATTATGCTAACCAAAATTAGTGCCTGATTACTGATGAAACCAGATTACTGATTGCTGGATTAGTAATAGCCAACTTGTACTAAAATCAATCAAAATCATCTCTGTTTTAGTAATATATCTTCAATTCTATCAAATGAGACCAAGAAACCTGAAATTCAACCATAAAAAAACATATGAAAATGCACTGCAAAGTTGCAGTTTTCATCCAAGAATAGTCACATTTTTTTTTCTCATTATGCACTGTGTGCTGCAGGATTTGTTTAATATGGTACACACTTACCACATAGATCAATTCTCTCATATCTAGGCCCAAATTTACCACCCACAACTTATCTGAGTGAGCTGAGCTCATGACATATTACTACTGCACTGACCCTGACTTAAAAGCAGTAGAACTACTGCACTGACCCTGACTTAAAAGCAGTAGAACTACTGCACTGACCCTCAGAGGGTTAAGGGATGAGTGAGGATGTTGCAGTTCAGATGGTCATGTTGCAGTTCAGAGGGTCATGTTGCAGTTCAGATGGTCATGTTGCAGTTCAGATGGTCATGTTGCAGTTCAGAGGGTCATGTTGCAGTTCAGATGGTCATGTTGCAGTTCAGAGGGTCATGGTGCAGTTCAGAGGGTCATGTTGCAGTTCAGATGGTCATGTTGCAGTTCAGAGGGTCATGTTGCAGTTCAGAGGGTCATGTTGCAGTTCAGATGGTCATGTTGCAGTTCAGAGGGTCATGTTGCAGTTCAGATGGTCATGTTGCAGTTCAGAGGGTCATGGTGCAGTTCAGAGGGTCATGTTGCAGTTCAGAGGGCCATGTTGCAGTTCAGAGGGTCATGTTGCAGTTCAGAGGGTCATGTTGCAGTTCAGAGGGTCATGTTGCAGTTCAGAGGGTCATGTTGCAGTTCAGAGGGTCATGTTGCAGTTCAGAGAGTCATGTAGCAGAGATTGAATGAAAGAGTGTGAATTTGTTTCCTATTGTTTTTGGTCATTGTACCACAATGGATGATAGCAGGTATGTTTAAAAATGGAAAATACGTCAGGGATGAGAGGTACTGGAGCACTCCAGTAAAACCTCTTGTCATTCTACTTATCATACACTGGATCACCATCATACTGAATATTTTATTTTGTACAATATTTTATTCATTTCATTCATTATTGATTTTTATTTTCCATGTTCAGCTTCCCTTTCCTTAGTATCTTCTTCATGTCACCCAGTCTCAACATTTTTTTTGTTATTGCTAAATTTTGGCCATTGATGGTACAGTCCTAACCAATCTGCTACTTTACTGTTATATTATTATCTGATTTTGATTTCTGCACATAACCTGTAGGATTTTTATTATGGCAAACACAAATTAACACAAACAATAATAGCAAAATCACTGTTGTAACAGACAGAATTTTCATTAATCTAAAATTTTATTATATTATTACTATATGCTTAAGGTGAAGATATTACTGGAATTCCAATAAAGTATTACTTTCTGTAATTTTTCAGCTGAGACTGAAGAAGTGTTGTGGAGCCAGGGAGTGGATATTCAGCAACACTATGACCAGTTTGTTAGTGTCCCAGGCTGTGGAGATGTCAAGGTGCGCATAGAACGTGTTGCACACACCACCCACGTCTTCATTGACCCAGTCAGTCGAGTGGAAGTCTCTGCCAGAGACATTCGTAGTCGTATTGCAGCAGAACCATCTAAGGGTCGAGTGGCTACCTCGACTAATAAAGGTAGAACTGTTAAGGAAAAAGAAGTCGTGGTATATGAGAAGGAGCATGTGGTTACTGTTGAAGCTGAAGGCAAGAATGAACACTTACCTGCAAAAGAAAATGCTTCTGGAAAGGTTTCCGAGGAAGATGCGTCCCGTCAGCGAGTGACAGCACTTGATAAGGAAGTCAAGTCTACTACTGTTATTTACTGTACATTTATGTGTACACGGGTTGTTTTAGTTCTGAAAGATGATGTCAAAGACCAAGAAAATATATCAGAAATATTGAGAGTTACTCTAGATAATTTTATTGTAAGCCTAAGACCTAAAATTGATCTGTCCGAGAAGCTTCGGGCTCTGGATTACAGAGTTAAAGAGCGGGTTGAGGTGGTCATCTTTGTTGGTGATGCCCAGGTTGATAATCAGCTTTTTGTATCTGGTAAATTTGATTTTCCAGTTATTTTAATAAGACAGGATCCTGAATCAGCTCCAAAATTTTCACCGCTGGATCCAATAGAGAGAGCTATACAAATTTCTCACAATAATGCACTCTTTACATTTTCTGTAGTCATGGAACAGTCTCCAACAAAAATGTGCGTACATTCCATCCATATAAGACAGAATCCTATTACTTTGTATGCTGAGGATGCAGTATTCTACTCTCTCATGGAAATTCTCTCATCTTTTCTTCCGGTATCAAGACACAAAACTTCTAAATTTAGGACAGATAGAGAGAGGAATGAAGAAGAGGAAGAAAGTTTACCAGTAATAATGAGAATGCCAAATGAAGTATTGCTGAAGTCAACAGCCATGACTCATCCTATTCAGATGTCTCAATTAACAATAGAGCCAATTGCTCTGTTGCTTAGTGTCCATGCTTCAGTCAAATTATATATTGCCCTGGATCAGTCTCCACTCAACTTTGGTCGTTTTCAGCGATCTGAAATCCTGACTACCAGTTACACATTAGGACACAGCCTGACGATGCATTATCTGTCGGGGGCACTCATTCGAGCTGGATGGGTTGTGGGATCCCTCGATTTACTTGGCAATCCTGGAGGTTTTGCTAGAACGGTTGGATCAGGCGTAAGAGATTTTGTTCAACTGCCATATGAAGGAATTCTTCAAGGTCCATGGGCTTTCATTGCTGGAGTAACTCATGGTTCAATGTCATTGGTGAAACATCTTACTGCAGGTAAGCAACCTTCATGTTGACAAAGCGGTTTGTTTTTTCATTCTCTATAATTACCAATCTTAGGTACATGAACATCTGTGCTCATAATGTTTGTCCTCAGTAGTTACTGCATCATAAATTTTTAACATTTCCAGTGGTTGCAACACCTTCCACCTTCTTTTTTTTTTTTCATTAACACATTAGCCATTTCCCACCAAGGCAGGGTGGCCCAAAAAAGAAAAACTTTCATCATTCACTCCATCACTGTCTTGCCAGAGGAGTGCTCACACTACAGTTTAAAAATTGCAACATTAATACCTCTCCTTCAGAGTGCAGGCACTGTACTTCCCACCTCCAGGACTCAAATCTGGCCTGCCAGTTTCCCTGAATCCCTTCATAAATGTTACCTTGCTCACACACTTTTAATCACTTCTCTTTTACTCCATTGAATTGTCCCACTACTATGGAATTTTTGTTTCTACTGTAGTACCTTTTTGCCTACTTTTTTCTTAATTTAATCTATGGCCTCTTGTTGTATATGTTAAAAGTACTAATAAATCCTCTATTCATATCCTTTTATGGACTTGCATGTGGTAAAATGGGTAAAATGAAAGCTGGGATTCATGAGATCTAGACAGAAATGTTAAATGCATAGTTTCTTTGTTTAAAGGAAATGGGGGACAAAAGAGAGTGTAGATATTATAGGAATATAAGTCAGTTGAGTGTACCTGGTAAAGTGTATAGTGGAGTTATTGTTGAAAGAGTTAAGGGTGAGACAGAGAGCACGATTGCAGATGACAAGGAGGCTTTAGGAAGGGTAGGGAGTGTGTAGACCAAGTGTTTACAGTGAAACACATAAGTGAATAATATTTAAGTAGGGAAGTTTTCATTGCATTCATGGATTTACAAATGAGCATACAATACAGTGGATAGGGGAGCAATGTGGCAGATGTTACAAGTGTATGGAATAGGTGGTAGGTTACCGAAAGCAGTTAAGACTTTTTATGAAGATAATGAGGTTCAAGTTAGGATATGTAGGAGAGGGAGGGTGATTATTTCCCAGTAAAAGTGGACCTTAGACAGGGGTACGTGATGTCACCATATTTGTTTTAACATACAGATGGGGTTGTAAAAGAAGTGAATGCTAGGGTGTTAGGGAGAGGGATGGGAATAAAATGTACAGAATCTAATACAAAGTGAGAGTTCTCACAGTTGCTATTTGCTGATGGCTGTATGCTTTAGGGAGGATCTGAAGAAAAGTTGCAAAGGTTGGTGGATGAATTTGGAAGGGCATTTTAGAGAAGGAAATTAAAAGTGAATGTAGGAAAGAGCAAGGTGATGAGGGTAACAAAATATGTAGGTGATGAGGGACTGGATATCACATTAGAGGGAGGGAGTATGGAAGAAGTTAATAAGTTCAGATATTTGGGAATGAACTTATCAGCAGATGGGTCTATGAAAGACAAGGTGGGTGGTGCCTGGAAGTATCTGTGGAGACAAAGAATGTTATCCATGGAGACAGAGGGGAATGTATGAGAGCATAGTGGTACCAACACATATATGGGTGTGAAGTATGGGTTGTGAATGTTGCAGCATGGAGGAGACTGGAGGCAGCAGAGATGTTGTGTCTGAAGTTAATGTGTGGTGTAAATATTATACAGAAAATTGGTAGCTTGGAGAGGAGGTGCGGAGTTACAAAAAGTATTATCCAGAGGGCTGAGGAGGGAGGAGGTGCTATAGAGATGATTTGGACATTTAGAAAGGATGGAGCAAAATAGGATGATGTGAAGGATGCATAAATCTGTAGTAGAGGGAAGGCAGGGTAGTGGTCAGCCTAGGAAAGGTTGGAGGGAGGGGGTAAAGGAAGTTTTTTTTGTGCAACATCTTGGACATCCAGCAGGTATGTATGAGCATGTTTGATGGGAATGAGTGGAGGCAAATGGTTTTTATGTCTTGACATGCTGTTGGAGTGCAAGGAAGGTAACGTTTATGAAGGGATTCAGGAAAATCAGTTAGGCGAACTTGAGCCCTGGTGGTGGGAAGTACAGCGCCTGTGCTTTGAAGGAAGGCTGGTTATATTTGCAGCTTGGAGGCGCATCTAAACTGTAGTATAGGTGCCCCTCTGACAAGATACTGATAGAGTAAGTAATGGTAAAAGTGTTTCTTGCTTTTCAGGCCACCCTACCTTGGTGGGAGATGGCTGGTTTGTTAAAAAATATATGCGGTTATCGTGTTTCCTCGCTTCGTATCAGCCAACAAGGCCACGTTTAACGTGTGTATACACGCCCATGTAAATATGTATAGTTGGTAGTTCTCCAAGAGAACCTCACAAGGTGTTTAGTAACCATCCACAGTATGTCCCACAGATACTTTGCATTTCATCTTGTCTGTAGTGAGCTAACAGCTTGTAGTGAGACCCTTCCATGAGGCTTTACCAGGGTCTTTCTTATTATACAGCCATCATGGCTAACATTAGTCCATGTAGTCATCATGGGTAACACTGGTTCATGCAGTCATCATGGATAACATTGGTCTATGCAATCATCATGGGTAACATTGGTCCATGCAATCATCATGGGTAACATTGGTCCATGCAATAATCATGGGTAACATTGGTCCATACAGTCATCATGGGTACATTGGTCCATGCAATCATCATGGGTAACATTGGTCCATGCAATAATCATGGGTAACATTGGTCCATACAGTCATCATGGGTAACATTGGTCCATGCAATCATCATGGGTAACATTGGTCCATGCAATAATCATGGGTAACATTGGTCCATACAGTCATCATGGGTAACATTGGTCCATGCAATCATCATGGGTAACATTGGTCCATGCAATAATCATGGGTAACATTGGTCCATACAGTCATCATGGGTAACATTGGTCCATGCATCATCATGGGGTAACATTGGTCCATGCAATAATCATGGGTAACATTGGTCCATACAGTCATCATGGGTAACATTGGTCCATGCAATCATCATGGGTAACATTGGTCCATGCAATAATCATGGGTAACATTGGTCCATACAGTCATCATGGGTAACATTGGTCCATGCAATCATCATGGGTAACATTGGTCCATGCAATCATCATGGGTAACATTGGTCCATGCAATCATCATGGGTAACATTGGTCCATGCAATAATCATGGGTAATATTGGTCCATATAGTCATCATGGGTAACATTGGTCCATGCAGTCATCATGGGTAACATTGGTCCATGCAATCATCATGGGTAACATTGGTCCATGCAGTCATCATGGGTAACATTGGCCCATGCAGTCATCATGGGGTAACACTGGTTCACTGGTGCTTATTATTCACTTGCAAATTTTGTAGCTGCAATTTTGTCTGAACTGGCAGCCTTGCCATGCCTTATCACACTGTGTATGCAACTAGGGTTCTTAACCCTTTCAGGGTCCAAGGCCCAAATCTGAAGTGGTGCCCCAGTGTCCAAGAATTTTCCAAAAAAAAATTTGTTATTTTTTCTTATGAAATGGTAGAGAATCTTTTTGTGAAGGTAATAAAACAAAAAGTACGAAATTTGATGGAAAATTGACGAAATTATGCTCTCGCGAATTTTGATGTGTCAGCGATATTTACGAATCGGCGATTTTGCCGACTTTGACTTCCATTTTAGGCCAATTATATCATTCCAGTCGACCAAATTCTTAGCTATTTTACTAGTATTACTTCTATTCTATCGATTGAGCACAAGAAATCGCCAAGTCAACTGTTTCAACTACAAAATAAAGTGATCGAAAATTGGTAATTTGGCCAATTTAACACAAAGTTCAAAATATTCCAATTTCAAAATAGCATCCAGAATAAACAATGTAGGCATTCCTGGCACTAAACTAACATTTCCTCGGTTCATTAGTTACGTTTTGAGGCTTTACAAATAAATCCCATTTTTATTTTTTATTTACATAATGAATTTTTATTCACACCAAAAAATAGAAGATTTACTGTTATGCAATATTGTAATAATTGTATAAATATCATCACCACATTTGTGAATGTGTATTAGACCCACCAGCTGACGTGTATTAGACGTGTGAGGTCGTTTGTTTACTCTTGAACATCGACAAAAATTTAACATTTCCGCTACTTTGAGCTCAGTTTCAAGCCATTTCCGGTGCTAAAACCAATCAAAATCATCTCTATTTCTGTAATATGTCTTCCATTCTATCAAATGAGACCAAGAAATTGCAAATACAACTATAAAAAACATACGAAAAAACACTGCAAAGTTGCTGTTTTAATCGAAAATCTTGGTTTCAGTTTTTTTCTCTCATTATACACAGTGTACTGCAGGATTTGTTTTATGTGGTGCACACATACCACATAGATGTATTCTCTCATATCTAGGCCCAAGTGTACCACTCACAGTTTATCAGAGTGAGCTGAGCTCATGACGTAGATCTACGGTTTGGACACTGAACGCAAAGCCGTAGATCTACGGGACGGACCCTGAAAGGGTTAAATCTCTCAAACCAGCCTTTGCTGGCCTTAAATTCACAAATATCAGTACTCGTTGCAGGCAATTTCTTTACGAGATCGTCATGCAATTGCCAAGCCTTTTCACAAATAAGCGACTGCATAAGACTATCTCCTGCTAATTGTTTCTCATTTTTCCACACCAACAATAACTTCTCAACATCTTTGAGTACTGGCAATCTCATATTTGTCAGCATGTTTACTCCCTTTGCAACAACAGCTTCCTTGATTTCCTTTTTCTTGGCCACGATGGAAGCTATGCTTGTATGGGGATTCTTATACATCCTGGCCAGTTTGGCCACATGTATGCCACTTTCATATTGTTCAATGATGTTTTTCTTGAATTTAATTGTATTTCTCACCTTCTTTACCAAAGGCCTGGCACTAGGAGCTTTCTTTGGGGCCATAGTAGCTTATTTAGCAGTTGCAAGCACTAAAATGAATACAGGTACCATCCGACTTACGACCGAGTTCGGTTCCGATCAACCGGTCGTAAGTCGAAATGGA